GTTTTGTCATTGGTTTGTCCTTTGTTTCATCCTTTGAAGTGATTGAATGTCTTTGGGGGGAGTTGGGTTGGGTGCGGAGGGGGTTTGGGTGCGGGAGTCTGGGTTGTGCCTTTTGAACGCTGAAAAGCGGCAAATGAAGTGTTCTGTTCATTCATTCATGATAAAGGGGAATTTTGGGTAGTTATACTCTTTTGTTGTATGATGTATTGGTCAGCTAACCTGACCAAGACACTCAACTTTCTCCCCTGCCTGTGATTGGTGGGAGAAATGTGCATGGAAGAAGTTGTGCATTCAGAGAATGGATGCACATAGGAAAGTATGACCAGAATTCAGGTCTTGGGACATGATGTCCCTGGGCCCCAGTTCTGGTCCCCCAACAGCACTGTCCTAGGGTTAATGGGGATTTAAGTGCAAAATGTACCTTTGCAAGGTCGGTGTCATCCAGAGCAGGAATCCCCAGCACCTCAACGCTTGCATACCAGCGCCTCAAATCAGCATGTTCAGGAACATCCAAGATGGACAAATTGAACTGGCTGATGTTGGACACCCATTCTTGTTTCAGCCATGCTGACAGTTCCAATGAAGAATTCACCTAACAATATTGATGAAAAAAGTTATCATAGTCTCCATCTTTTTAATATTTGAAAAAGGGAGTTTTTACAATCGAATCACTTTCAGCATCCATCAGAGAAACACAAAAATCATCTCAAGTAATCACAGTTATCTTAAATTATCCCTAATTATTTTCCCGAAAAATGTATATCACCCACCTGAACTTCTGAATTGTAGTCTGTGATGTTCGTCTGGAAAGCCCATTCAGCTTCTGCTTGTTTGTTGACTTCACTCTTGTAGTTTTCAGAATAGGTGTCTTCGTATGCTTTCAATTCATCCACTGACAAGTCCCTGAGTGGATATGTTTTCTTCGCTGATTCCACAGAAATATGACCGACACAGGCCAACACGGCAAGAGTGAAAAAAAATTTATACCTCGTCATCTGTCAGCCAAAAAAAAAAAAATATATTAGGGACAATTTTTAAAAGCTGTTGCAATTTTATTTCAGGACGAATCAAATTCGCGCATGAGTCTTGTGCCAAGGGTAATTTAAATTCCCCGATATTCGTCTCGGTAAAATAAAATTTGCTGAATGCGCATCCGCAGTATTAGCAAACTGCAAATCATTTTTTTCAGTTTTTTTTTCACACTGTATTGCTGTCAACTCGTGGATACAAATCAGTGCATTGTAATGGATCTTCTTTTTAAAAGCCACAGGTGCTGATTGTTTCGATTCGACAGTGAATGACACAAGTCGAAGGGAAACTTGTTTTCACTTTCTTTTTCCAGAGTCAAACAATGCGAGAAAACCACTCGATCGAAAGTGGGCACAGTTGAGGAGCATTTTCTTGAATAAACAGTACATGGATCACGAGTA